TTTGTCACGTAATAAATAAATATAGACAAAAAATAATTTTGATTGCTCTTAAATTAAATTTGGATAGCTTTTGACAAAAAAAATGTGTAATATGGATAGCTTTTGACCAAAATTTGGATAACTCATGATCAAAATTGTATAATTTAGGTAGCTATTTAACCAAAATTTGAATAGAAATTTGATCAAAAGTTACATAAATTATTTTTTTGTCCATATTTAAGTATTACGTGACATGTTTATGATAAAAAATGTTAGTAATTTGGACGTTGTCTGTTTCAGGGACCATATAAAAACATATTCAATACTTTATGGACCAAAATGATGCAATTGAAATATTAAAAACCAAAATGAGATAAATTTCATACTTTAAAAACCTTCAGTGCAATTATCTCCAAATTTTATACACATCTTTTTAATTAATCAAATGACTAATCCACCTAAGCTTTCTAATTTTATGAGATCTATGCTTATTCATTCACCTAAAGTTTTTTGTTACGTTGTCCTTGTCACTAGTGGCAAATATATTAAGAATATTTCTTTTTAAATTAAAATAAATTTTAAAATTTTATTTTTCTTCAATTTTTTTATACACAATATTTGTTTTCCAAATGTCATATTTATAAATCAACTAAACACTTCTACAATAAGAAAATAATATGAACTTGGACTTAAAAAATATTAAAATTATAAAAGAATAAAACCCCATTTATTCATGTGAACCACAAAATTAAATATCATACATGAATTCTCCTCTAACATTGCTTGCTGGAAAAAAAAATAGAGAGAATCAATAGATTAATTTTGTATCTTTAGTGATTTAGAAAAGTGATGCACTAGTAATAGATTAAAATTTATAAATTGGTATTGGAAGGGAGAGGGGATGAAAATAANAATAGATTAATTTTGTATCTTTAGTGATTTAGAAAAGTGATGCACTAGTAATAGATTAAAATTTATAAATTGGTATTGGAAGGGAGAGGGGATGAAAATAAATGGTTTAATTTATATTTTAATTTCAAATAACGACAAAAATATAACCGGTGGGAGAATATGTGTGTCACAAAGAGAATAATTAGTGATGCTTACTGTATATTACTTTTTGCATATTTTTATTTTTAATTTTAATTTTAATTGTGTATCATTGGTCTAGACTTTTGAGTCTAAATTATTTAACTAAGATTTTTTTACTGAATAAAATTTGAATTAGACTTTCTCTTAGACTCAATTTTTATAGATTTAAATCTATGATATGGACTATGTTAGTGGTGCTTTTTTGGTTTGGGGCCTAAATTCCCCAAACGAAATTGATCTGCATCTATTAGTTTTAGTTTGAAAGATTTATAATTATTAGTTAAAAAATACTATATAATTTTATACATATCATTTTTTTATCAAATAAAATATGGAGATATAATATCAAAATTTTATTTAGGGTAAACTTCATTCACACTCCCCTATAATTATCCCTCACTTTTTTTTTGAAATTTTATTGAGACCCCTTGTCAAGTTGTTCACTAAAGCGTTAACGGAGGAGACCATTTTACATAAATGCCCTTACATATAATATACGTATATCAGATATTATATATAATTTTAAGAAAAATTTCAATCACATTCCTTCTACTTTATTATATTTTTAAGAATATCCCCTCTACTTTTCAAAACATCACTAACGCCCCTTTATTTTATATTTAAATATCATTGACACTACTTGCAATTAAATCACGGTTTTTAACAAAATAAATTCATCTAAAATATCAAAATTACCGCTACGTAAACATCAAACAGTGTTTTTACATAAAATTCGATTAAAATTTATTTTTCTGCATATTAAAATTTATTTTTTTATGTATTAAAATTCATTTGAGTCCAACCTAAGCTGCTAGATTAAATATATAGTCCAAAATTCAATGCAAGTTAATTAAAATTTGATTCGAGATAATTAAAAATAAATTTTAATTGAATCTAATCGAATTTTAATCGACTCAAATTTTAATACATAAAAAAGTATAATTTTTAATAGACTTAAAATTTTAAAATATATTACGGATAATTTAGTAACATTACATTTTAATTGACATAATTAATCTTTAAGCTATGAAACTTTTGTTCTTTTTTCTCAGAAGTTATAGACCTTCGTTTCTTCAAAGGAGGTGGAGTAGTTATAAGGTGGTGCAAGTAAAGGATATATTCACCATAATGTTATAATATTTAAGTCATGATATTCGGTTTTCAAGTTGTCAGAAAACATCGTTAACAGCAAGAGGTGTAATTAATTCAAGGACAAAATGGAGAAAGGGGTGCAGTAAAATTTTAGAAGAAACTGGTCAGATGATATCATTAAATATATAACTAATTATAGGGGGTGTGAATGAAATTTATTATTTTATATATTTTTCAACACCATAGTTAGCCCTTGGACTAAATGTTAGCTTATCTTACTCACTTCGATGTGTCTCTAGGAGAATGGTGGTGAGAGAATCTAAACAGACCCATTTTCTCCAAAAATCCAAACATAGCTATAAATGAGAAGATGGACCCATGTATTGACATATCTCATGTCCCTTCTCATGTAAGTCTCTCTCTCTATCTTCCTTGTAACTAAAGAGTGGTCCCAGTAGATGCAAATCTGCCTTTTTTTTCTTTGCATTTTTCTGTGCTTGATGACAATCTAAGCCTCCTTTCATGGCTTTTCAACAATACCCATTTTGCTGTTTGAGCTTCATGTCGCTCTGTACCATGTTTTCTGGAAGGTGGGTCTGATTGTTCTTAGTTTTTCTTGCCATGTGCTCTCGAGCAAGTTTTGAGCTGGTGCTGAATGAGTATTTATACTGGGATAGAAGCAGAAGGACGTAAGTGAACGTGGTCTGAGATAAAAAATTTGATGACATGATTTTATGGGTTTTGATTTTTTTGTTTTTCCCTTTTCGGCATTTTGTTGTTCTAATTGTGCATGTATATATGTATCCATGTACATACCTGTTAAAATCATATTTTTTTGGGTGTTTTATCTGCTTGAGATAGTGGGTTTGGTGATTTTTATTTTTGATCTATGCCTTGTGATTCTAGCTTTTTTCTTTTGTTTCGTATCTTTTAATGCTTTTTGTATTTTGCTATTGAAAATTCTTGTANTTTGGTGATTTTTATTTTTGATCTATGCCTTGTGATTCTAGCTTTTTTCTTTTGTTTCGTATCTTTTAATGCTTTTTGTATTTTGCTATTGAAAATTCTTGTAATGTTTTAACAACGTCTGTGGTATTTGCTGATTCTCTTCTCTCTCTCTCTCTCTCACACACACACACACACACAAAATATCTGACCTTGAATGGGGATTCTTACTCACTTCTGACAAAGGACTCTAAGTACCTTGTTCCTCCTCTCTTATATCCTAGTTGTTANTAATGTTTTAACAACGTCTGTGGTATTTGCTGATTCTCTTCTCTCTCTCTCTCTCTCTCTCACACACACACAAAAAATCTGACCTTGAATGGGGATTCTTACTCACTGCTGACAAAGGACTCTAAGTACCTTGTTCCTCCTCTCTTATATCCTAGTTGTTATATTTTATGGGTGTGATATAGTTATATCCCATTGTTGGGCTTCTGATTCTGATTGAATTAATTCTCTGGTGGCATTATGAAATGTTCTGATGTGCCTAGTTACAAGAGTTTTCATTTCGCTTATCATACCTAAATTCCCCGAATTTCGGAATTGTTCCTGATTTTTTCATCAGGGATGGAAGTACCTAAAGTAGATTGAATTCAATTGGAGAATGTGCTTTTGCGCCTGGTGTTTTAAATTCTACCCTGCGGCGAAGGTCTTTGAGTTTAGTCTAAACAACAAATGGAGTTCTCCCTACCCTGTGGCAAATATATGCGAATTGAGTGTAAACAATGAATGGGGTTCTCTCTCCCTTGAGGAGGATTTTTATGGAGTCCAGGTTCAATTCGACCTTAAAACCTCTGGAAGAAGGAAAGTGTGCCACTAAATTATTATAAGGACAACTATGGCCTCTAATTGGAATTTAGATAAAATTTAGCTTATGGTGTTTCCAGAATTTTGAGTGGATTAGCTCTTTTGTTATCAATTTTTTATGTTCAGAAAATTATTTTTTGTGAAAATTTATGCCTTTTGATATGCTGAAGTTGGATATGAGCTGGTAGATTATGTTATTGAGTTTGAAAATGCAGTCTACCCCATTGAAGTAGGACGATCTTTTTACATGAATAATTAGTGAGCTATGACTCTATTTGTCACAGTCTGAAGATACAAGGCCGGAAGATATATGTCAAAGTGACACCCAAAACAAGTAGATTTGGGGCAATCTAGTTTGATCTGGTGAGCTTGAGGTGGGCCATCTGAATACTCTTTAGGTGTTTTGTATGTGGTGCTTGCTGCTTTGAACTATTACTAGATAACAAGCACAAAAACACTATCAATTAGTTTTCCTCTTATCTGGAAAAATTAACATCCTTCATGAATATTCATTGTGCCCACATCAAAGATAGTAAATTCTTATTCTTTTTTTTGCAGATTCATAGTGTAAGTCCAGATTTGTATCTCCATTTTAATCAGTTAGTGCTTTTCATGAATTTGTCATGTTATCCTTGCCTCTGAAAATTTTATATTCAAACTGTCTTTGAAATTGATCTAGTGATAAAGATGTAGAATAATGCAATCATGATGAGTCAGATGGGTTAGAATATTTATTTGGATGGGTTGCAACTTCCTGATTACTTTCAAAGAGAGCAAAAGGTTGTTATAGGATCGACTGTTTTAAGCTCATTCTACTGAGTTGGAAAAGTGAGATTGAACTGTCTTACTTCACCCCACAAGTTCCTTATTTGTTTTGGCAAGGAATTTTTGTTTCTTCTGATTTATTGCTTATAGAAAGCTCTTTAATTTTGGATTCGGTTGTGTCTCTGAATAAAAATTACAAAGCTTGGTACTCAAACATGTGCTCCTTTTTCCGTCATGCCATTGCCAGGAACTAGAGGGAGATGCAGTGTACAAGCTACCTCCATGGATGTTACCCCAATAACGATCTCAATATTGGGGCTAATGGCAATAGATGGCCCCCATATTATGGTGATGGAACCCAGAAGAGTACAAACCTCTACAATGATTTATCACCAACATTTACTACAAACCAAAATCTATGGCATGTCAAAGAAATTTTAAGCCAGACTATACTCAAACATGAAGCCACATTTAGAAATCAGGTATATTCCGCCCAACTTTCAATGTCAAGCCTCGGATTTTACTTGTTGCATCATCTTGACTTGAAGCATTTGTGAACTTATGTTATTAATGGAGCACTTTCAATTTGTTTTGATATAATTTCAGAATTGTGTCATTTTTTCAAATCGTTAAAATGTAATTCAGGTAATGCCTTATAGGATTACATTATTAGCTTATTATCTTATTTAGATAAAAAAAAAAATCTGGTGATTCTGATGAAGAACTTTGTCCTTTGGTTGTTAACCTTTTGAAATTCCTCAAATTTTGATTAAAAGAATACTAGGTGATGGTGGATTTGGCAACTCTGAGTGGATAAAGACTGCTGCTAGCCAGTAGAGCTTGATATTCCATTTTCTTTGCAATCATGTAACCATTTGATGTGTATTTTGCTTGGAGAGCGAGTCTGGAAGAATGTTGAGTTCAAAATATTAATGGTGTGCTGTTTGGAAGAAAATTGGATATTCAGAGCTCAAAAAGAAGTGTTTTGTGGCTCTGGCCAATGTTAGCCCAAGCAATTTGTTCACCTTCCACCTTGGTCGGGCAATGAGAATGTTCACAAATCGCCTTTGTATTTAACTAAATGATTCTTGTTGGGAAGTTGTTCTTCTTGATCAAAACATACCCTTCACAGCTTCTTGACTGCTGATTGTGAAAGCATTTTTCCCTTCCAGGTCCTTGAACTCCATCGCCTTTACAGAAGACAAAGGGAATTAATGGAGGAAATTAGATTGAGAGAAAAGTGTGAACATCATTTACGGTTGCAAACATTTCAGTCAAATCTTGTTTTCCCTCAAATGCCATCTGAAGTGGAACAGAAGATGTGGCACATTTCAAGCTTGCCCTGGGAAAACCCTGCCGGTAATTGCTTCTATGCATTAAATGCTGAAAACGTTCAAGCATTTTCAAGTTTTGTTGCGGGAAATAACATGAAAGCAGATTGTGAACCTTCCCTGAGTAAAAGCCATAAGGAAGACTGCAACCTGTCATTATCACGNTATGCATTAAATGCTGAAAACGTTCAAGCATTTTCAAGTTTTGTTGCGGGAAATAACGTGAAAGCAGATTGTGAACCTTCCCTGAGTAAAAGCCATAAGGAAGACTGCAACTTGTCATTATCACAAAACAGCAACTACGGGAAAAGAATGTTGGATCTTGAACTTCCAGCTGATGAGTACATCGACAGTGAAGAAGAGGAGCGGTCGAAAGAAAAGGAGGTTTCTGAAGTGCCAGAGGTGCCATATTATCCTTCTAAGAGAATTTCAGGCAGTGTTGTGTTCTCCGGTGGCCAAGGAGGTCCTGTCAGCCCTGATTCATTTTCCAGGAAAACGAAACATTTGGTTGACTTGAATGAGCCTATCCAGCTTGATGATCGAGGAACTCCAAATTCCACTAGCCTACTGGGCTCGGACACCTGCCATGTGGAGATTCCGTACAAGGGCCACAATCTGTCTGGGATGTTGAATTCAGACTTCTTACTACTGAATCAAGAAATTGTCCATACTATCAATGCAGGAAAGGGTTTCCAGGACTACTCAAAGATGATATATGATAGGCAACAGGAGCTGCAAACTTACAATGATGAAGCAGGTGAGAATTATGTTTGGGATTGCAAATAAAAATTGTTTTCATTATTGTTTTATCTTTCTTCCTTGCTTCCTAAAAACAACACGATGTTGTTTCATCTAGATTATGGTTGTTTTTTTATTGAATTCACTGTCCTTTTTTAAAGTTTGGTTAGTGCTTACCTTTCCAGGGAAAAGTGGAAGCAATTTGAGTCCTCTCTTTCAAGTTTCCTGTCAAGAAAGACTATCCAGATCATGTGTTGAACTTCAAGGTCATGAACGTCCAAGGATCAATCTATTGGATAAGGTTGACCAAGAAATGTGGAGTGAAAGAACAAATTTGGAACTAAAAATCCCCGAAAGAAATCATAATCTTTGCAATGATAACTATCCAGTGCTGGTCAGTTATTCTATACCCACTTCAAACCAGCTTGTTACTCAGTCTGACGTGGCTAAGTCTGAACCATCATCGGTTCCATCTCAAAGGAAAGCAATACATAACTTGAGACACATCCCTATAGCAGTTCAAGCACTTCCATGTGTTGATACTCGTACATCATTGACAAAAAATTCTTTTCATCCAAGCAGAAATTCCACATGTAGCCCAAGGTTTGAAAGTGTTCCAAACAGCTTTTCCCCTGAATTCCAGTCCAAGTCCATGACATTGAAGGCCTTCTCTCCTTTGACGAGTCTTAATCCTCTAACCAGGACTGGTCACAACAACTCTCCTTCCAAACACCATGATCTTTCAGAAAGCTTTAAGGATTCCACTCGTATGGGTGTGAATTTTAATTCCATGCGCCCTAGCTGTTTGTTAGACACAACAGTTTCTCGAGAAAATAACAGAATTGCAGGTGAAGGAAAGAAGCCTGAAGACTCGGTGGAGGGATCCCACNTAATTCCATGCGCCCTAGCTGTTTGTTAGACACAACAGTTTCTCGAGAAAATAACAGGATTGCAGGTGTAGGAAAGAAGCCTGAAGACTCGGTGGAGGGATCCCACTGGTTTAGAGCAAAGTCAGACAGTAATAGCAAACTGGATGAAGAAACACAACATTTAGCTGTGATGGAATCAGTCTTTTCCCATCCATTTGAAAATGGAGACTTCGAAAACAGAGAGAAAATGAGGGTACATGATAGTTGGGCTGCTCCTGATTCTTCACTGGATTCTGGAAACTGTGGTACAGATGATGTTGCGGTACATATTGGAGTTGCTAATAAGGTTTCTGACTTTTGTAATCACATTGACCTGAATTCTCTCAAAATAGAAGATGAGTCTTCACTTGCACCCGCTACTCCAACTCTCGTCATGAAAATTGCACCAGGAATGGATTTGGAGGCACCTGTTAGTCCAGAAAATAAGGAATGTTCACCACCTAGAGGAGAATCTGAGGAACACCAACTTGAGACACCTTCAAAACAGGAAGATAGGGACCCAGAGACGAAACTCGCCAGGACTGCTGCGGAAGCTATATTCTTAATTTCTGCATCTGGGGTTCCACTGTGTTTGGATAATGCCACAGGTAAGCAATCAGAAGCTTCCGGTGACTGCCTAAATTGGTTTTCTGGGATAGTATGTTCTATGGCAGGTGAGCTAGAGAAGGAGGTTGAGACATTTCTGACTGGTGCTGCTGATGGGGATCACAATGAAATTTTACCCAATGTAATTGATAACTTTGATACCATGACATTGAAGCCTACAGAGATGGAGGTGGAAGAGTATTGTTGCAAGCGTACTCGTCAGACAAAGAATGTAACACGTCCCATTTTCATATCAAGTCAGCAGAGGACTGTCCAGACAAGGAGGGCAAGGCGACGAAAGGACTTCCAAACAGAAAGTGCTGATACTACTATGGTGACAGGTTCAAGAAGGAGAAATGTGGGTAAAAATGGGTGTGCAAGAGGGAAGAGGCAGTCACGTTCCAATGGCACTCAGCACACAATGTACTCACTTTTGAAGCAGCAAACTAATTTCAATGAATTGGGCTTCAGGGAAGGATGCAGTGTAACAGGTTGGGGGAAGAACAATAGACGGCGCAGGGGCCAAAGATTTCCAGCTAGTAATCCATCTCTTATTTTTACTTAAATGTACCAATGGTTACTTGAAGGGAGATAGGTTTTTGGGTCATTATAAGAAAGCGAGGACAGGGTATTTGTTTTGGCTACGAATTTTGGACTAAGGTCATTTGCGAAGAGTCAGATTGCTTTGTACATATTACTTAATCTAAATTTAGTTTGGGATACTCTGTTTATAGCTTACAGGCAGCAGCATATATGCATACCCGACATGTATGGTATGGATGCTATGCACCAGTTACTGCCCCATCTTAAGATTGTTGCAAGAGGTATTTGAATTGAAAAAAAGAAGATGAAAATGTGATTGGACTGATTGATATCTATTATTTGTTTGTGTCAAATGTCAATCATGGTCTCAAGGATACGGTATCGGTCAACAACTTAAACAACTTACATTTTTCTGAGACATATCAGTTGTAGCATTGCAACGTTGCGGTAACAAGCGATACAACCTAAAAGAAAATGTTAAACATGATGAAAGTTTTATGTCATATCNGGTCAACAACTTAAACAACTTACATTTTTCTGAGACATATCAGTTGTAGCATTGCAATGTTGCGGTAACAAGCGATACAATCTAAAAGAAAATGTTAAACATGATGAAAGTTTCATGTCATATTGCAGCGTTGCGAAATTATATCTGGCAAATCGGTGACGATAACTCGACGACTTAAAATTGACTCAAATATAACTTACACGATTCGGGATTTATATGTATCGTACAACAGTATCATCTCAAAATGTGCCAAGTCACTTTGAAGCATGATGTCAATGCTTTGCATTGTAGGAAGCTTACCATTGTCTTGATTCATGGGCAATAATTGTATTACAGAGAGCTTTCACATGATAGTAAAAAGCAACATTCTGAACAATTTCTTAGGTGGGTAAGTTCATACTTCTAAAAAAAATAAATCGAACTTTGGGATTAAAAAGTAAAGCAAAAACCACAATAAGCAGATATAGATTATGTTAGAGGGAATCAAACTTGCTATCTCATGCTCATGACTGTCTTAAATTCTTCTAAAATATATTACATATCAAGACATTTTACAAGAATATAACTTCTTGTAGTAATAGTGCAATACATAGAAAGAAAACATTCAATCTATCCCCTTAAGAATTTTTCTCATGAACTCAACAAAGAGTTGTACGGCTATAATTCCTTTAATTTTTCTTTTCAAAAGCTCAAAAAGTACTTCTTAGTGCTAACTAAATGATGCATTACGATACATTAAGAAAATCACTGTGAATAATAGAGTAAATTATACTTAGGCCCCCTAGACTATGCCTCTCATTTCACATTGCTTTCTAAACTATTTACTTCCGCAGATTACATGTTAAAGTGTTAGTTTGAGCTTCGCATTTTCCCAATCATCGACTTCTGTGCTATTTTTCCTGCATAACAAAACAAAAATCGAATTCTATATCCAGCTAGGCAACGAAAGACCACATCCCCTGATATTGTGGGATATCTCATTTTTGTCCAATTTTTTTGTGAAATTAATGTTTTGAAGAAAAGTCTGATTTGAGCAATGTGAAACTCAAATCAAAATTTTAAAGTGCAATGTGAGAAAGTTGATAATTTACGGGACAAAGTAAAATGAGGGGCATAATTCACAAGGCCTAAGTGTGTCAAACTTTTCTTTTCTTTTCTTTTTCTCTCTTCTAGCACTTTTAACATTTTGTAGCCATTGATTTTGCCAACTTCAATTGAACAATGGCAGTGTTTTATTTTTATATATAAAGTTGTGGGTTTCAAGTGAAACCAATGGGCCTCATGGAGTAGTAAAAGCTTGAGTTCCAAATTGAGTGAAATGAGGGCTCTGATAAGCCACTTGAAGAAGCTCATCATCATCATACGAGTCTCTATATGTCTCCAAGTTAACTTGAGCATTTCTCAAAGTTGAAATCAAGAGCTCTTTTCTCCATTCTTCTAAGTGGGGGAATCCAACATGATCTGCATAGCGATCGCAGTACTGTAAAAGGAACAAAAAAAAAAATTATAACTTGGTAAATTTTATCCTTCCACGTGCGTCTTGGCATAATGATCAGAAAGATTGACAAATGTGACTTTGATATACATCACCGGTTTGAATCAATGAAACAACCTTGATCCAAGACTATACTACATACATATGTCATTTCTAGATCCAACCGTGACAAGAGTTTCGTGCATTGAAACTGTTATGAATGAGGCCACAAACAATCACCAGAAGGANTGAATCAATGAAACAACCTTGATCCAAGACTATACTACATACATATGTCATTTCTAGGTCCAACCGTGACAAGAGTTTCGTGCATGGAAACTGTTATGAATGAGGCCACAAACAATCACCAGAAGGAAAGTAAAATATATAAATAGAGAAGACACAAATATACATAGTTCACCTCGAAAACTTATGTCCACAGGAAAAGCATTGAGACGACGATTACAAAAAATTCTCTGACCAAGAGAATCGGATTTAGAATTGGATGTCCAAAATAGAGAGCCAAAATCTCCGAGAGAAAATAAGTTATCTACAATCTATTTATAAACCAAAAATACTATGTTTCGTAATTAATACAATAGGTTTCCAAAGCCGTCTCTCTTGGAATAGAATCTAAGACGTCCACATTTTCAAATTCCTAAAGAGAAAAGATTTTCAAATCTGTTATTTACTTGGAGTTGAATAAAAGACACCCACAACAAAAATGTCATTTTTCCTTTAAATTTTTATGGAATAAGAAGATGATTAGCTCTACAAAAACGCAATGCTTCAGAAGAATGAGTGGTAAGAGTAAATTTATACCTCGAAATCTGCAATCTCATGGGTATAATGCTTTGGAATGCCAGCAACTTCCCTCGAGTGGTAGAACTCCTTGATGGACTGCATCATGTCATCACATGATGGCAATGTTCTTTTGCCAGACAGAACCTGAGCTATCCATTTTGCTTGTGACTCAAAGAAAGGGAACCCTATGACCTGCATAAAATTAATTCCCAGGGTAGACAAAAGCTTCTTTAGGTTCTGTACTTGTTCCTCAAAAAAAACTACGTTGTTTTCTAAGCTATATGTGAATATAAATTAAAGGTCCCCTTAAAAAAATGACTACGGTACCAAAATTTACAATGATTTAAGGTCAAGTTACACGGGTATAAGCTATAACTCAAAAAATCATTGTCGATTATAAAACATTTTGATCAATCATAAAAAATACAATTTTTAAAGGCAAAGTTACAACTGATTGAGATTATTCACGCTTGATCACATATAAATTTAACTTTACATTTAAAAGATGTAACTTGACTCTCAATAGAAGTGATAGTTCGGTACCATAATCATTCTATATATGTATATGTATGCATACACACTCTTAAAATAGTAGATTATAAAGATTTGGTACATATTGAATTCTTAAAAGTAGAGTAAAGAGATTTACCTTTCTAGGAATGCCTATGAAGGAGAGAGAGGGAGCAAGTGATGGGGGGAAAGTGTGCTCATACAAAGGACCCACTCTGTTATCATCCACCACCACTATTCCTTTGGTGTCAAGAAATGGTAAGGAATATGAATATCTGCACATAAACCCACTTGGCTCTATTAGTTTTAATGTTATAATCTCTTTCGAATGTAAGTGAAGTTGGTTGTGATCAGGGTGCTCCAAATCTTAAATCTATCAGTTGCAATGGTAGGNTTATAATCTCTTTCGAATGTAAGTGAAGTTGGTTGTGATCAGGGTGCTCCAAATCTTAAATCTATCAGTTGCAATGGTAGGCGAAAAAATGTTTTAATTTCGGCACTACTTAGAAACTCTTGTAAGTATGCACGACACTCGTATCGTATATTATTCATTATTTAGACTTCACATTATCCGACCAATATCTTATCCATATTATTTGGTTATGTCGTTTTCGGGCACATCTTCCATCGAATGGAGCAATAGTGGCAGTAGCTTATGCCCAGATTGGTTTAGTCAAAGATCATCCTCAAATCCATTGCCTTAGGCATAGGTTTTGAGTAAATTATACTTAGATCCCCTAAATTATTATCTCATTTCATATTGTCCCCTAAATTATTCTCTTTCTCACATTACACTTTAAACTATTAGTTTGAGTTTCACACTACTCCAATTTTGAATTTTTCACTACAAATCTGGATAGAAAATAAAATTTTGCTCAATTGAAAAGAAAAAACCATCATCTATTAGCATTGTGCAGTTCTATTTTTGCCTTGATTTGCACTAAAAATTGGACAAAAGTTCAATATTAGGAAAATATGAAACTGAAACCTACAATTTAACGTGCAATGTGAGAGAGGCAATAGTGTAAGGGCCAATGTAAAACAAGGGATAAAGTTCAAAGGGCCTAATTGTAATTTTTCCTTACGCATTTCTACTCTCTTACATTTGTACCATCTCGAGAATATATTCACCGGAGTTGTCTACTCCACCGGGAAAAAAAAAATTGGTACCGTAACCATATTTGTAGTTATTTTTATCACTATTGAGAAAATTGATAGTGGTAAAAATAGTTATCAAGTGATAAAAACATTCACAACTGCCCACAAATGTTGTAAGTTAACCACAAAAATAGTAATCTTTTTTGTACCGAAAAAAGTGATAAAAATAATTATCACAACAATGGTAAAAACACCCCCAACAGTAACAAAAATACTCACAAATGTTGTAAATTACCTACAAAAGTGATAATTTTTTGTACCAAAAAAGTGGTAAAAATAATTGTCACAACAGTGGTAAAAACACTCACAAAAATGGTAAATCACCCACAAAAATGATAATTTTTTTAGTTGCAAAATGATCTAAAAATATTGCAAAAACACCCATTAAAATAATAAATTTTGGAGATACAATACGAAAAAAAAAAATTTTATCCTAGTCAAGTCCATATTCACCTACCAAATGTTGTACATTATTCACATATAAAATGTTTTATATTTTATTGTGTATTTGACAAAAACAATTTGTTTGACAGTTTTTCCTTGATTGTAGTGAGCGTAGAATATTTTCTAGTACAATCTAGTTTTTTTTTTTCCATGAAGTATGGAATTTTTACCCTGTGCAGTATATGATGGTATCGGCCGTTATACAAGAGCCATCTATGAATATAACTCTTCCATCTTCTTGCAGGGACTCTACCTGCAATATTTTAACAATGTCCATAAACTTCTATAAATTCAAAACTAGCCCACAAATTTTATAGGGTTTTCTCAGACTTGGACAAATTGGTTTGAATCAACTGACCAATGGATGAAGGTGCAAATTATCATATTTGGAGATTACTTTTGATAATCCCTCTGAAATATCAAGAGATTTGGCACTGAGATGGATCTCCTTTGCCACATCCACAAGCTCAATGGCTATGTCCTGCCCACTCATTGAATTACCAATCACAATCACCACCTGTGGAAGGAAACAAAGACATTTTCGAAAGTATTTCAAAAATAATTCAGAAACATAATACAAACTGAGAAAATATTTGATAATTTGTATCTAAAATATTGGTCAGAGCATCTCAAAATATTCCGATACATATCGAAACATAGGAATTTTGGTATGTAATCGCTGGCGCATTTCTATTTTCATGAAAACAAAAACGTTTTGACTATTTTAAAACATCATTTTGAAGTTTGGCTTCAAGAGCTAATAAAAAAAAAAACACAGCTTTGAAGCACATTTGAATCCACAACTGCAGAAGTTTTGTGTTTGCGGGTTTTGGGTTGTGGGGCGAGCCCAGATGTGACTATGTCGTTGTCGCATCATTAACAATTAGAAAATGATACCTACAACATAATTCATTGATAAATCAAAACACAACAAATTTACGTTTTCATTTTCAAGATCAACGATCACAAATAAATCAATACGAGAAGGTAAGATCCATTTTTCGGACTGCTAATCACATTTTTTTTGTGGGTATATTATTTGTATGTGAAAATTGTATTACCTCATTGCGGAATGGCTCTGGAATCCTATAAATGTGACTGTGCATTTGCTTTCTTCTCCATGTATTCATTCCTTATCAGCAAATGAAACAAACCATTAACAAACAAAAGGCGAAGAGGAAAAAAGAATATTCTTTTAATAAATAAATAAAAAATGATACATTGATATTTGTTTTATTTTTCATCCCACAGTTTTCACCATCAAATAAATGAATTTCATTAATATTGAACAATGGAGATTGTATCACGNGTGAAAAAATGTTTTAATTTTGGCACTACTTAGAAACTCTTGCAAGTATGCACGACACTCGTATCGTATATTATTCATTATTTAGACTTCACATTATCCGACCAATATCTTATCCATGTTATTTGGTTATGTCGTTTTCGGGCACATCTCCCATCGAATGGAGCAATAGTGGCAGTAGCTTATGCCCAGATTGGTTTAGTCAAAGATCATCCTAAAATCCATTGCCTTAGGCATAGGTACCGTTGAGTAAATTATACTTAGATCCCCTAAATTATTATCTCATTTCATATTGTCCCCTNCAAGAGTTAACATTACTGAATGAATAAAGCTCCTTTTCGTTAGAACTGAAAAATCTTGACTTTGCTTTGGTTTTTTTTTTATTTGGAGAGAGAGAGAGAGAATAGTACAATCCTTCTGCCACTCAAAAATATGAGATAGACAATGGTACGATTCATCCATCACTCTTAAAGGAATGCAATAATTTATAGGTCTTTGTCTNCGAGAGTTAACATTACTGAATGAATAAAGCTCCTTTTCGTTAGAACTGAAAAATCTTGACTTTGCTTTGGTTTTTTTTTTTATTTGGAGAGAGAGAGAGAGAATAGTACAATCCTTCTGCCACTCAAAAATATGAGATAGANGAAATAGTGTAAGGGCCAATGTAAAACAAGGGATAAAGTTCAAAGGGCCTAATTGTAATTTTTCCTTATGCATTTCTACTCTCTTACATATGTACCATCTCGAGAATATATTCACCGGAGTTGTCTACTCCACCGGGAAAAAAAAAATTGGTACCGTAACCATATTTGTAGTTATTTTTATCACTATTGAGAAAATTGATAGTGGTAAAAATAGTTATCAAGTGATAAAAACATTCACAACTGCCCACAAATGTTGTAAATTAACCACAAAAATAGTAATCTTTTTTGTACCGAAAAAAGTGATAAAAATAATTATCACAACAATGGTAAAAACACCCCCAACGGTGACAAAAATACCCACAAATGTTGTAAATCACCTACAAAAGTGTTAATTTTTTGTACCAAAAAAGTGGTAAAAATAATTGTCACAACAGTGGTAAAAACACTCACAAAAATGGTAAATTACCCACAAAAATGATAATTTTTTTAGTTGCAAAATGATCTAAAAATATTGCAAAAACACCCATTAAAATAATAAATTTTGGAGATACAATACGAAAAAAAAAAAATGTATCCTAGTCAAGTCCATATTCACCTACCAAATGTTGTACATTATTCACATATAAAATGTTTTATATTTTATTGTGTATTTGACAAAAACAATTTGTTTGACAGTTTTTCCTTGATTGTAGTGAGCGTAGAATATTTTCTAGTACAATCTAGTTTTTTTTTTTCCATGAAGTATGGAATTTTTACCCTGTGCAGTATATGATGGTATCGGCCGTTATACAAGAGCCATCTATGAATATAACTCTTCCATCTTCTTGCAGGGACTCTACCTGCAATATTTTAACAATGTCCATAAACTTCTATAAATTCAAAACTAGCCCACAAATTTTATAGGGTTTTCTCAGACTTGGACAAATTGGTTTGAATCAACTGACCAATGGATGAAGGTGCAAATTATCATATTTGGAGATTACTTTTGATAATCCCTCTGAAATATCAAGAGATTTGGCACTGAGATGGATCTCCTTTGCCACATCCACAAGCTCAATGGCTATGTCCTGCCCACTCATTGAATTACCAATCACAATCACCACCTGTGGAAGGAAACAAAGACATTTTCGAAAGTATTTCAAAAATAATTCAGAAACATAATACAAACTGAGAAAATATTTGATAATTTGTATCTAAAATATTGGTCAGAGCATCTCAAAATATTCCGATACATATCGAAACATAGGAATTTTGGTATGTAATCGCTGGCGCATTTCTATTTTCATGAAAACAAAAACGTTTTGACTATTTTAAAACATCATTTTGAAGTTTGGCTTCAAGAGCTAATAAAAGAAAAAACACAGCTTTGAAGCACATTTGAATCCACAACTGCAGAAGTTTTGTGTTTGCGGGTTTTGGGTTGTGGGGCGAGCCCAGATGTGACTATGTCGTTGTCGCATCATTAACAATTAGAAAATGATACCTACAACATAATTCATTGATAAATCAAAACACAACAAATTTACGTTTTCATTTTCAAGATCAACGATCACAAATAAATCAATACGAGAAGGTAAGATCCATTTTTCGGACTGCTAATCACATTTTTTTTGTGGGTATATTATTTGTATGTGAAAATTGTATTACCTCATTGCGGAATGGCTCTGGAATCCTATAAATGTGACTGTGCATTTGCTTTCTTCTCCATGTATTCATTCCTTATCAGCAAATGAAACAAACCATTAACAAACAAAAGGCGAAGAGGAAAAAAGAATATTCTTTTAATAAATAAATAAAAAATGATACATTGATATTTGTTTTATTTTTCATCCCACAGTTTTCACCATCAAATAAATGAATTTCATTAATATTGAACAATGGAGATTGTATCACAAGAGTTAACATTACTGAATGAATAAAGCTCCTTTTCGTTAGAACTGAAAAATCTTGACTTTGCTTTGGTTTTTTTTTTATTTGGAGAGAGAGAGAGAGAATAGTACAATCCTTCTGCCACTCAAAAATATGAGATAGACAATGGTACGATTCATCCATCACTCTTAAAGGAATGCAATAATTTATAGGTCTTTGTCTTTGAAGATGCAAGATAGAGAGAATGTTATCCTTCATCACTCCAGAATGAATGGCACATTCTCGTAGTTCTTAGTCTGTTAAGATGCAAAAGGTTCAAAGAAGAATTCGACCAAAACAATTCACTTTCTGTTATCCCCACCATCTATTTATAGTGGGTTGATGATGGAATTAAAGTTTTTTTTTTTTTTTTNTGAGAAAATTGATAGTGGTAAAAATAGTTATCAAGTGATAAAAACATTCACAACTGCCCACAAATGTTGTAAATTAACCACAAAAATAGTAATCTTTTTTGTACCGAAAAAAGTGATAAAAATAATTATCACAACAATGGTAAAAACACCCCCAACGGTGACAAAAATACCCACAAATGTTGTAAATCACCTACAAAAGTGTTAATTTTTTGTACCAAAAAAGTGGTAAAAATAATTGTCACAACAGTGGTAAAAACACTCACAAAAATGGTAAATTACCCACAAAAATGATAATTTTTTTAGTTGCAAAATGATCTAAAAATATTGCAAAAANCTTACAAAGCTATCTGAACTCCTGCTAATTTCACATTCAAGATGAACGAGAGATAAGTTGAACCATTCTCCAGCCCAAACTGACTACCTTGGAAATGAGGAGAGAGAGAGAGAGATTCTTGCATACCTTGAATATCAGGCAGTCTGGGTTGGGAGTAATGACCTGTGGCCACAATGACTGCATCAAAGATCTCTTCCACCACCTTTTCAGACTTCTTCTCTTTGCTTCTAACAACCCATTTCAAATCTTCACCAAATTTTGAATTCTCCCACATCCCCACATAATCAACCCTAACATTAAACCTTAACATCTCCTTCAACCCAAACCATTCACAAAAGTCCTTAAGGTACAAGAAAAGTTCCCTATGGCTTGGAAATCTTCTCATGTCCCTACCTTTCTTCACCAAAAATGGGAAATCACTATAACCCATTATCTCTCTAGGAGAGACCAACCTTATTGACTCATAGAGACTGCTATGGACCTTCAAGGTAGTGCCCTTTCCTAAGGGATCTTCACCCTCAACATTAGGGTCATAAAGCCATTGTCCTCCAAAATCATGGTTTTGCTCCAGAACCACCACATTGTGGCCTTCCTTCCTCAGCTCCCTGGCTGCCACCAGCCCCGACGGTCCTGCACCGATTACGCAAACATTTTTCGATTGATAGATAACAGAAACCATGGTAGTAGTCGGATCTTCTTGTGTGTTTGTGTTTTGTAGGTGGAAATATGTGGGGGGTTTATATAGTTGAATTAGTAAAGAGAGCCATTATATTGAATGGGGAAGTTTGCTCCTTGGGGGACACTCGTGACCTAGTAAAATCATGCATGTTTCAATCTATATTGTTTGGGTTTCCATTTGCTGGATTTGTGATTTATAATTGAATTACGCTAAAACATTTCGAGATTTAAAATAATAAAATCGTAAAAGACATTNTAAATCACTTGATCAGCTGGAAAATATAACTTTTTTGTCAATTTTTTGTGCATAAAATTTCATCAAGAATATATATATCGGTTTACAAAATAGTAAAATNAATTTCTTTACTTTCTCTTTTTTGCAGCAGTTTATGATCTCTGAGTTAGTTTACGTGCACTTCGATTAACTTCATTTTCAATCCAGTCAAAGGCAAGTCATCTACGCCGAGATTAAGGTATTTTTATGAGAAATAATTTCCTATAACCTAACAACAAAAAATAGCGCAAATGTAATAGAGACTAATTATAAATCCAAACATCTTGATTTCAAATCTTATTGAGAGTTGCCCTATCTTTGTCCAAATACCATCTTGCCTTTGTCTTCTNTCGAATACAAATATATAAATTAAAGGGGTTGGCAATTATATCTCGGATAGTATAAAATGATGACAGATTAAACGTCGTTTTATGTGACAAATAAACATAAAACAACACCATTTTGATTTAATTTTTTTTTGCTTCAGCCTCTACCGTTGCAAATACTCATCTATTTTGCATCGGGGCACCTTGCCGATGCAAATATTGCATTTTTTTTGCATCGGGGACTCTTGCCGAAACAAGTAATCAATTTTTTTTTGACAAATACGGTTGAAGCAAAAAATTAAATATTTAAAAACACCGACTCAAAAGTCTTGTTTTCTTGTAGTTGTATAAAGTACAAGGAAGTACTTGTTTAATTACCACATGAAGATTTGATTTATCTTATGGAAAGCTTGCAAGTCACCCTACGTTGATGGTGGTCTAACCCAACTTTTGGACCATCTTTCNCGTACTCATTGTACAAGCTTGTCGTCTCTAGACCGGGGATAAGTTATTAGGTAAGTGATAAGTAACATTTTCCCGTTTAAGGGACATTGATTATNAGTTTCTTTACTTTCTCTTTTTTGCAGCAGTTTATGGTCTCTGAGTTAGTTTACGTGCACTTCGATTAACTTTATTTTCAATCAAGTCAAAGGCAAGCCATCTACACCGAAATTAAGGTATTTTTATGAGAAATAATTTCCTATAACCTAACAACAAAAAATAGCTCAAATGTAATAGAGACTAATTATAAATCCAAACATCTTGATTTCGAATCTTATTGAGAGTTGCCCTATCTTTGTCCAAATACCATCTTGCCTTTGTCTTCTAACTCTATCCCCCGAGAATTTATCTTTTTAAAGTTTAGTTGTTCCATTGGATTTAAGAAACATGTTTTGCCTTAATTTGAACTAATTGACTTCTTATCTTTTTATTTTAAAAAGGAAAAAACTAGTTTTGCCAACAATCACTCCTTAATCCTTACAAATGTTGTTAGCCAAACGTTTCATAAAAAAATATCTTACTCATTGTACAAGCTTGTCATCTCTAGACCGGGAATAAGTTATTAGGTAAGTGATAAGTAACATTTTCCCGTTTAAGGGACATTGATTATTGGATTTGAGTTCATATCTTATTGTTTGGAGGATGAACACTTGTCATCGCTCTATATCCGACCTTTTTCTCACGTTTCACAACAGAAGAATTGATTCTGCTACCAACCTTTACAATAATTAACTCTTAATACTATTTATCTTTTAATATATTAATTACTTCAAGTTCAATACTTGGTGCAGAAACAAAAAGTTTAATATCTGCCACAGTATTTTATGGGTCCCCAAATCGATGGGGTTGCCTCTTCTTAAAGCCAAGGGAACATAGACAATCATGGAATAGTTATCATGTTCATTCAATACAAATTCTCTTGTTATCATAAGACTTTCAACTTTGGTCAAGTAAACTCTTCTTTACCACACTTTCTTCTTTCTTCTTCATCATTACTGCTGAATAAAGATTATCAAAGAAAGAAGAAACCACTCATGTGCATTAACAAAGTTATTTTTGTGATATAGTCTAGAATAGACGTAAACAAGTTCCGAAATTTGATAGTCTTAAAACCCGAGTTTAATTGTTGACCATTGATAGCATGTGCTCTTGATTTGTGTTCGTCCAAAGTTTGCGTTGTAGCTATAAATCCAAAGAACGTGTGGTTGTGATGAATTCCCTTTTTTTTATTAGAAAAAAAAACCTCTGTAAAGCAACATTTCATCTTTGTAAGGGACTTTATACTTTGATTTTCATGTTTGATTTAGTTTTTTTTTTTTAAATCACTTGATCAGCTGGAAAATATAACTTTTTTGTCAATTTTTTGTGCATAAAATTTCATCAAGAATATATATATCGGTTTACAAAATAGTAAAATTAGCATTCGTTGAAGAATCTGTCATGACATAATCACTTTTTTCCCAATGGCAAAAACTATATCGAATACAAATATATAAATTAAAGGGGTTGGCAATTATATCTCGGATAGTATAAAATGATGACAGATTAAACGTCGTTTTATGTGACAAATAAACATAAAACAACACCATTTTGATTTAATTTTTTTTTGCTTCAGCCTCTACCGTTGCAAATACTCAT